AAGAAGCTCCAGCTCCAGCAGCACGCCTCCACCGGCGAGCAAACCACTCGCGCAGCTCCTGTGGAGAGAGCGGCTCCCGCCGAGACTGAAGAACCGGAGAGCCCCCAGGTCCAGCAGGCGCAGGCTCCGCACCTCCAGGCCCAGCACCCCCAGGCTCAGCAGCTCCTGACGTAGCACCCTCCGGCTCAGCACCCCCCGGCTCAGCACCCCCAGACTCAGCACCCCCCGGCCTCGCACCCCCAGGCTCAGCACCCCCAGCAGCAGCACCCCCAGGCTCAGCACCCGCAGCAGGACCAGACTCAGCAGCAACCTCGACTGGCCCGACCGTGTCTACCTGGGACACACCTGAAGGGGCAGGAACCTGAGGGGGGAGGGGGTCTACCGGGGGGGGAACTGGTACCAGGAAGTCCGGTGGGGGGGGGAGGGAAGGAGTACGGTAGGGGAAGAGGCGGTAGAAGGGGACTGACTCGTCGAACGTGACGTCCTGGGAGGACAGAACACGACGAGAGGAGGGGTGGTAGAACTGCCACCCTGGAGCGTCAGGGGGGAAGCCAAGGAAGACACAGGGAGCAGCACGGGGGGACAGCTTGTCCGCAGACAAGTCGCGGACAAACGCCCGAGATCCCCAGACACGGAACGCAGACGCATCGCCGACCTTCCCCGTCCACAGTAACACTGGGGACATCGCGGGCCGAGAGACCCTGGGGTGAAGGTTGAGCTGATGCGCCGCGTACCGAACCGCAAACGGCCACAGAAAGTGGGGGGCAGCCGCATGCATCATGGACGTACGAGCGACATCCATGACCATGCCAATGCGGCGCTCAGCAATCCCATTTTGCTGTGGAGAGTCCGGAAGTGTAAAGGTCTGGCGGATCCCCTGTGCACGACAGTAGGCTCGCAGAAGGCGAGAGGAGAACTCCCCACCGCGGTCAGAGTGCAGACGCAGAACAAGAAAGTCCGAGCCGAAGCTCTTCCTGAGCTAGAGACGAGCCTCTCGGATCCAGTCGATCAGCACCTCAGTGACAGCACCCTTGCTGCGCAAGGGGAAGACTGAGGTGTAACGCGAGTAGTCGTCAACCACCAACAGGAAGTAGCGCTCGTGACCCTGCCCACGGACGGGGGCCGGGCCCCACACGTCCATGTGAAGCGTCTGCAGAGGAGCCTCTGTCGGGGGAAACTGGGAGGAGTGAGGAGCAGCCCTGAGGCGCCCCTCGACACAGGGGACACAGGAAGGTCCTGGTCCCGAAGGAAGGGGAGGGAGAGACTGGGGAAGACCAGAGACAAGGACACGGGAAGCCATGCCCCGAAGACGGGGCAAGGAGGGGTGGCCTAGACGGTGGTGCCACAGAAGAGTCTCGTGAGACAGGAGGCGACACGAACAGGGGGCAGACTCAGGACCAGACCTGGACGCAGCAGCAAACACTTGACCCGACGCTGCTACCTGACCGGACGCGGGGACAGGAGGAGACTCAGTGGTCAGGGTGTAGAGGCTCGACCCCGGCCGACGCGAGAACGTGGCCAGGTGCCGGCCTGTGCGTGCGTCCGTGCAGTGGGTCACCCGCTGACTCGCAGGAGTGAACTGGTGAACCCCCGCATCCTGTAGGTCTGCACCACTCACCAAGTTCGTCGAGAACGAGGGGAGGTACAGGCCAGACAGGGTGCCCGAGGGGGCAGCCGGACACGGGAGGACAGTGGAAAAGTGAGCGAGGACAGGACCCCCAGAGGGGTCAGCCAGGGAGACAGCAACCGGCCGACCAAGCGGCGTGAGTGTGGTGCGGTCCCGAAAGAAGGAGCGAGAAGCCCCAGAGTCAAGTGTAAAGGTGAGGGAGGCCGAAGCCAACGCGGTACCTGAGAGCGCAGCCTCACCCGCACCTGAGGAAGCAGACTCACGAGCACCTAGAGCAGCAGCCGCACCTGTACCTGGAGCAGGAGACTCACTAGCACCCAGAGCAGCAGCCTCACCAGTAGCTAGAGCAGCAAGTCCTATACCTGGGTCAGGCGGGACGCACAGGTGACCGGCACGGTCAGCACTAGTAGGCAATGCATACATGGCAGTGAGAATAGCATCATAGTCAAGAGCATATATATCGACCCTCTGCCTAAGCAACTCCACCCAGTCGGGAAGCTCAGCCTCGTCGCCAAACACGGTACGCCAGGCGTCGCTCAGACGGGCGAAGCAGCGGGACGGTGTATGACTACGTGTCCCACAAGGCTGACCAGTCCGAGTACCAGTGCGTATCACGTAAGAGCAGCGAACAGCACTGAGAGACCCTCCACTCTGAGCGTACCACTCACGAAGCTGGCGAGGCGTGAGAGACACGCGAGAGGGTCGCGGGAGCTGCATCTGGCCGCCACCACGAGTAGAAGCAGCAGGAGTGGTAGTAGGAGTAGCGCCGCCACCCCTACAGCCCCAACCAGCGTACCACTCACGCAGCTGCTGGGGCGTGAGGGACTCACGCAGGCGTCGCTGGGGCTGCATCTGGCTCCGCAAGGAGAAGCAGGAGCAGGACTAGCAGCAGGAAGGCAGGCAGCCAGGCAAGCCAAAAGGCAGGCAGGCAGGCAAGCAGGCGACGCGCAGCGTGCTAGCAGGGCAAGAGCTCACCAGTGGTGGGAAGAGTAGGCTCGGCGACTCAGCGGCTCGGCAGCTCGGCGGCTCGGCGGCTCGGGCGACTCGGGCGGCTCGGCGGCAAGGCGGCTCGACAGCAACTGCAGCTCAGCAGCTCGGTGACTCGGCGGCTCGGCGGCAGGGCGGCTCGGCAGCAACTGCAGCTCAGCAGCTCAGCGACCCGGCGGCTCGGCGGCAGGGCGGCTCGGCTGCTGGGCGGCTCGGGTGCAGGGCGGCTCGGCGGTGGGGCGGCTCGGCTGCTGCAGGTGAGCGGCTCGGCTGCTGCAGTGGGAGATGAAGGAGGAGGAGAAGCAGGGGAGGCCACACACCTGACACCCCTCCGCAAGCGGCCCCCTCAGGTCGCCTCGACAGGCGACGGGAAAAGGGGGGGGGGGGGTGGTGGGGGCCGGTAGGTGCAGCGGCGGGGCCAGCAGGTGCAGTTGCGGGGCCGGTAGAAGGGGACGGCAGGAGCCGTCAGGAGGGGACGGCAGGAGCCGTCAGGAGGGGACGGCGGGGCCGTCAGGAAGGGACGGCGGGGCCGTCACGAAGGGACGGCGGGGCCGTCAGGAGGCGACCGGGCCGCGAAGGGGCGGCTGGGCCGGGATGGGGCGGGGCCGCGACGGAGGCAGGCGGCGGGGCCGCGTAAGGGCCTGGGCGGGGCCGCGACAGAGCCGTCAGCGGGGCCGCGTGAAAGCCGGGGCGGGGCCGCGTAGAAGCCGGGGCGGGGCCGCGCGAGAGCAGGCGGCGGGGCCGCGAAGGAGCCGGGGCGGGGCCGCGTGAGAGCAGGCGGCGGGGCCGCGTAAAGGCCGGGGCGGGGCCGCGACAGAGCCGGCGGCGGGGCCGCGTGAAAGCCGGCGACGGGGCCGCGTAAGGGCCGGCGGCGGGGCCGCGTCAGTGAAGGCGGCGGGGCCGCAGGGGAAATGGCGACCCGAGGGGTCGCTAAAAAAAATCGCGCCTCGGGGGGCGCTTCGGTGGGCCCAAAAAAACGGTCTTTAGAAGGACCCGCTCTATACCATGTGATAATAAGCAAACAGGAATGAATGAACTAGCAGTGAAATGAGTACAAGTAGGAAACCCTAGAATTGTGTACCCCCTATAGGCTAACCCACTGTAACCTACACAAGCAGAACATATATAATGTTTGACAGTATCATGATTAATCGCTAGTAAAATGATTGATATCTAGTACAATGATATGTACTAGCACTTCTGTTCCTAGCTCAGAGTGCATGATATGATTTTGTAAGAGCGTATTCCTATCATTGTATCAACTGAACCTCATATCAAGATTGAACTTTTTGCCTGGTAAAACTAGCGAGAGGCAGGCCCTACGAAGTCAGACTTTTTTCTCTGGTTTGCACAAAAAACTCTGATATTTCAGATTTTTTTTTTTTTCCTGTGTACTCTGTTAAAATCAGACTTTTTTGGGCCCAAACTCTGTAATTTTCAGACTTTTTTTAAGGCTAACTCTGAGAGTTCAGAGTTTTCTGAGAGTGTACTCTGATCATTCAGAGTACAAACGCGTCCTTGACTGGTGATTCGAACTTACGGGTCACAACAGATTCGCAATGTCAACGCAAAATCGCCTTGATACAGCAAATCCGAGCCTTATAGTACAAGATTTTCGCCCAATCATAGCGAAATCGCCCTGACACAACCGATTTGCGCTGTCAGAGCACAACAATTTTCGACCAATCACAGAAAACTCGCCCTGACATTGCAGATTCGCTCTTTCGCACCACAAGATTCGCCCCGACACATATATTCGCCCTGTCAGAGCATGTATTATCGGAAATCCCCTTAGTGTTGTGTGTTTCGGTAGCAGATGAATGAAACATTTATTTACATTCCGATGAAACATTGAATGCATTGTTTTTGAATGATCAGACTTTTTTTTTAGGACACTCTGAAATTTCAGCCTTTTTTTTATACCAACTCTGAGATTTTCAGACTAAAATTGTGTACTAGTCTGACGAATCAGACAGGCCAAAAATGAATCTGAGGGCCTGGCGAGAGGTTTTGGGTTTAGGGGAATTTTCAGTGGGAGGTTGATATGAGGTTCTCTTGATACGAGGATAGGAATACGCTCTAAGTGAACTCTAGTCCGGTGGATTGAAGTCAGTTTTGAGTCGCTTGACGAGTTGCCAACGCGATTCAGAGCGAAGGCGCGAAGCAAGCGTAGCTTGGTTGATGTGCTTTGCAATTCTGGTGCCTTGGATAGGATGGCAAGGGAAGCAACAGCCTCCCACTATAACGAGGTGACTTTTTTTTTAGTCGGCTCAAAAGTAATCAAGTGTAGCTTTGCTGCGCTTTGCTATAACGGAGCCTTGATAGGATGGCAAAGAGAGCAACAGCCTCCCACCCTCCCACTCTGCTGAGTCGAGTTTGAGCCGACTCAAACGTCACTGCGAGAGTGAGAGCGAATGCGGAGGCGAAGCAAGGCGTAACCGGGTTGGCGTGCAACAATGGTGCCCTGATAGGATGGCAAGGCGAGCAAGGCCTTCACATGGTGCTCTTCTGCCAGCACCAAAACTGACTCCACCCTTCCTCCCTCCACTCCCCTGCTCTCCCCACTCCCCTCACGACTCCCCTCCCCACTCCTCTCTCCGATCCCCTTTCCATTCTTCAACCCACTGCCCTCCCCGGTCTTCTCGCGCTGTGCTCTGACCCTAGCAGCAAGCCCCTCGAGCACGCTGTGTGCGTGCTGCTGTGACTCCACAAAGGCCACAGGTCGTTGTGAGTAAAACACCACACTGGGCATGCGCGCACCCACCATCACCATCGCCTCCCACGCTGCTGCTGCTGCTGCTGCTGGTGGTGGTTCAGCTGCTGTTGCTGCTGGTGATGGTGCTGCTACTGTTGCTGCTGGTGCTGCTGGTGCTGGTGCTGGTGCTGGTGCTGCTGGTGCTGCTGCTGCTGCTGCTGCTGGTGCTGCTGCTGCTGCTGCTGCTGCTGCTGCTGGTGCTGGTGCTGGTGCTGCTGGTGCTGCTGGTGCTGCTGCTGCTGGTGCTGCTGCTGCTGCTGGTGCTGCTGGTGCTGCTGCTGGTGCTGCTGGTGCTGGTGCTGCTGCTGCTGGTGCTGCTGGTGCTGGTGCTGGTGCTGCTGGTGCTGCTGGAGCTGGCACTGTTGCTGCTATGGGCTCCCCTGATATACCCAAGCCTGGTCTTTCCAATAGTGGCTGTACAGGGGGCTGCAGGGAGGCAGCAGCAGTGAGAGCGAGGTCCCTGGAGGGCCGCTGCAGGACAGAGTCTGCTATGAGGAGAGAGGGGCGGAGGAAGAGTGGCAGCAGGAGGAGGACCAAGGCTGCGTGGATGAAGAGCAGCGGGGAGATGGGTGAGAGGTGGAGCAAGCGGGGTAAGTTGGGGGAGGGGGAGTGGGGAGAGGAGGGAGAGGGGGAGAAGGAGGGAGAGGAGGAGGGGGAGGAACGGGAGGGAGGGGATGAGGAGGAGGGGGAGGCCAGGGGGGAGGAGACTTTGCCGGTAGCAGCAGCGAGAGCAGCAACAGCAGTGCAGGCAGTGGCAGCAGCAGCAAAGAGCACAGAAGCGTGCCAATGCAGCCCATCCCTTATAATCGCTGCTACTATAGCCGCTGCTTTGGGGTCCCCTATCATGGGCTGCTGCAGCAGCAAGGGCAGGAGTGCCAAGGCGAGAGAGAGGAGCGAGAAGACAGAGGCTGAGAAAAAGGCAGAGAGAGGGGTGCCCGAGGGGGGAAGAGGAGGAGGGGAGGAACGGAGGGAGAGTGTAGGTGTTCTGGAAGGTTGTGTGGCTTCCAGGCTGGATCGAGAACGGGGAGTGTGTGAGACGGTTTGTGAATCCTGAGAGTTGCTCCGCGGTAAATTTGGTCTCAGGAGCCCTGCGGCCAATACGATTGCGACACCTGGCGCCATGGGAAGGTAGTAGGAGGGGAGCTGAGAGCGAGAGAGAGCGAGCAAGCCAAAGCCAGCCAGCACCCACGCCAGTCCCAGTAGCACCAAATTATTCCCCCTCTCCTCCCGGCCTCTCTCCATTCCCCTCTCCTCCCGGCCTCTCTCCATTCCCCTCTCCTCCCGGCCTCTCTCCATTCCCCTCTCCTCCCGGCCCCTCTCCTTGTCCCCCTGTGTTCTTCCCTGTATGGTCTCCTGTCTTGCCTCCTCCCCTGCTTCTTCACTCCTCATCCCCCCACCAATCACCTTCCCCCTCATTCCGGTCTCTCTGTGTTGTTCTGCCACTCCCCTCCATCCATATCGATCCATGACTGCTCGAGCAGCAGCAGTGGCCGTGCGAAGGAAGGCAGGGGGGAACAGCAGGGACCATGGAAAATACAGCAGCAGGCAGGCTAATAACGGGTACAGAACTGGCCTGTTCCCGTGGTGGTTCACGCCCTTAGCGAATCTCTCCCAGTGGTGGTACCCAAAGAACGTGCTCAGATACATGCTCCCGTGCCGCTTTCCCATCGCAAGAAACCACGGAAGCGCGGTGAGAAGAAAAAGGAGAGCGCAGGGGAAGAAGGGAAGCTCGAAGAGGAGGAAAGAACGGAGGGAGGAGAGGAGGGCGAAGGGGGAGCGGAGGGAGAAGGTTCCGGAGAGAGTGAGGAAGAGCGAGAGGACGAGGCAGGGGAGGAGGGCGCCCAAGGGACCCTTGGTGAGGCAGGCTGCTGCGAGAGAGAGTGCGGAGAGGAGGTAGAGCGCGGGGCTTAGGAAGGAGCGGGGGGGAGAATGGGGGGGGGTGACGTCATGGGAGGAGCGGTGAGAAGGGTGGTGGGATGGGGGGTTGTGAGGGCTGTGATGAGGGTCGTGAGGGTGATGAGGGTGGTGAGAGGCATAGGCCCAGAAGAATGCGAGGTTGGCAGTGGCGGTGGTGGCGAGGAACGGCGCGTCTGAGACGGCCACAGAGCCCCACAGGAAGGGGCCCAGGGAGAGCGCGAATATGGGCGCGATGGTGAATGCTGCTGCCCAGTGGAGAGGACGGGGAGAGGGTGGCTTTTGAAAGGGTGATTCTTGCTCCTGTTGCTGCTTCTGGGGAGGGGAATGCGGATGAGTGTGGGGTTGGGGGAGGCCGAAGCGGAGGGCGGTGAGGGAGAGGAGGGCGAGGGTGAAGGAGAGGCAGAGAGCCGAAGGAACACGCAACGCCGCTACTTCTGCTGCCGCCGCCGCTGCCGCTGCTGCTTCCGCTCCTGCCACTCCCCCTCCCGCTCCCCCTGCTCCGCCCAGCAACGCGCCGCCGCCCAGACTCTTCAGCGCGGCGCCCGTGAGCCAGTACGAGAGGGGCGGCTTGTCGAAGCGCGGATGCGCGTTGAACTGCGGCGTGACCCAGTCCCCCGTGAGCGCCATCTGCCGCGCCGCCTCCGCGAACAGCGGCTCCGTGTCGTCTACTAGGCCAACGAGATGCGGGAAGCGCGGGAACGGGGCGCGGAGGGGGACGCGGGGAATACCGACGGAGGAGGCGGGAGGGGGAACGGGCGCAAGGGGAGAGGAGGGGATCGCGGGGAAGGAGGGAAGGGAGAGGAGCGAGTGGAGGGAGGGCGCAGGGGGGAATTGTGGCGGAGGTGCGGGGGAGGCACGGGGGGAGAAGAGGGGGAGGAGGGGGAGAAGCCAGGCGGAGATGGCGAGGAGGAGTAACCATGCGGCAAGAGCGAGGGGGAGGAGGATCGCGCGCAGAGAGCGGGATACGGGGGGCGGAGGCGGAGGAGGAGGAGGGGCGGGGAGATCTTCGGGGGATGTGGGGGAAGGATCAGTAGGAGGAGGTTGAGGGTTGCGCCGAGGGGAAGACGCGGGTTCTGAAGAGGAGGAGGCAACGGGGCGGTCAGAGGACGGAGGATTTTGGGGAGAATCCGGAGCGGGATCGGACGAAGGGGGATCGGACGAAGCGGGGGAGCCGGCGCGGGAGCGGGACGGAGGAAGGCGACGGGAATAGGTTCGTGGTGGGGGCTGCAAATGTGGCGAGGGGGGGCGGAGGGTTAGGCGGAGGGGGAAGGACCAAGCGCCCCAGGCGCAAGCGGAGCCTGTCAGGGTCGTGCGCGCACTCCTCCGCGCGCACCCAATATGCCTTCTCGCGCTCGTGATGCAAAATTGCGGACACCGACTGGGATTGTTGCCACTATGGCCGTAACCATTATCACCGCTACTATCACGACCGTTACTGTGATGCCATCCTACGCAAACGCGCCCCGCGACCCCGCACCGCGCCGCGGTGCCATGCCAGCTGGCAGCAGCAGCAGCAGCGGTAGTTGCAGCTGCAGTTCCGGCAGGAGCGTGCGACGCGAGACGCGGCGAGCGGGTCCCAGTCGCGAGCAGAGATGCCTCCATGACGCTTGCGAAGTAATATATTGCCCGAGGTTAAACTACTAAGACGACTACATGCGACCTCCACCTCGCTCTATCTCACTAAGATTCGCTTCGCGCCCTTTCTCACTCCATCTTCTCTCACTCCCATCAAATTCATTTGGCCTTTCTGTGAAATGGCAATGCAAGGAATGCAAATTGCAAATGACGTTCGAGTTTTCATGTGTATCAGCTTAAACCCGAAACCCCCAATGCAGGTGAAATGTAACATTCATGTCGTGAACGTGATCGAATCGTCAACGCGAGTGCATGCTGGGTAACCTGAACAACGAGTTCGCCGTTTTTCGAGGAATTCAGTAGCGTGCGCTAATTTGCCTGTACGAAAGGTGGTTGTAGGTTTCGCCAACGATTCTTTTGCAGAATTTCATATCAGCCTTCAATCATTAGAGAAAGTTCATTCCTACCCTCCATCCCCCAGCCTCCCCCTCCCCCCCCCCCTTTCCCCCCCCCCCCCCCCCCAACCCCTTCTACCTTTCTCCCAACCCCAGGAGCAGAAACACGGGAAAAAAACACTACAGTGCCGTAGTTTAACCAGCACTCGAAATCCAAGCCACACACCTCACATACGGAAAGAAAGACTATGCCTATCCTAGATCCTCTCCGACCAACACCGAACTTAACCGACCAATCAGCACGTTTGGTTGAACTGCCTCTGCCATTGCTGCAGCAGCGTCTCCCACACGTCTCTCTGAACCAGAGGCCTCTCCTTCCCCTGTGCGCGCTGCTCCTGTGCCTGCTGCACACTGCCCTGCACCGACTGCAGGAACGCCCTCTGCTCATCCACAGGCAACATGCGCACATGCTGCAGCACCGTCAGTTGCTGGAAAGTTGTGGGGGAGATGGGGGGGAGCGGAACGAGGGAGGAGAAAGAGTGGGTTGGAGAGGTTGGAAATGGGTTGCTAACTTGGTTTCTCGGAAGGGGTAGGAGCAGGGGAGGTGAATCAAAAAAGGAGGGGGGGAAGGGGTAGGCGCATGTGTGGGTGTATGTGTGCATGTGTGCATATGTGATTGTGTGTGCTCCTGTGCATGCTGCATGCTGCCCTGCAGTGACTGCAGGAGCGCCCTCTGCTCGCCCA